GAACGAAACCTAGTCGGACTATTAGTCGGACTATAGTCCCAGGTGAACATACTCGTCGACAACTTCGAGCGTATCGCTCTCAACAACTGCCGACAGCCATGGACGTTATATATGACCTTTGTATTCTCCATGTTCATCTTAAGACCTATCCGTTGGGAGACACTATTGAAGTCATAAAGCATGGTGCTTAGGTCCTCCAACGGTTCTGCCATAAGGACTATATCGTCGGCAAATCGAAGGTGAGTACTCGTGTACACCGGATACGGTATGAACATCAAGTTAATACCGTATTATTTCCAGTCCAGTCCCTTGTAAATGACAATGCAGCGGTGAAGAGTTTCGAGGATATAACGTCACCCTGTCTTACACCTCTCTGCAATTTGGCAGTTTGATGGGTTTCGTTTTTTTTTATAGGATCGAGTGACAAACGAGCACACAGTCCACCTGATGGTAAGTGGATGCTGTGGCCCATGGACATCTACATTTATCTTCGTTTGCGAATCAAAACGCAGATGCGTTGTCACTCGTGAGGACTAAGATGGGATGCCTCTTTTCCGATGCTTTTAAAGAATATGTAAAAAATTATTCTAAAATGTTTAAAAGAGTTTGCTCCACAGCCAAATCATTACATATTAGTAACAAAATTAAGACAGCTAAGAATAAAATTAAAATGACGTGGAGTATAATTAACAGCGAAACCGGTAAAAAGAAACCTCATAACTCAAACTATCAATTAAAAATTAATAATGAATTGACTAAATCAAATCAAGAAGTTGCAGCGGTGTTTGAGAAATATTTTACTGATGTTCCTATCTTGATAACAGAGTCATTGAATACTTCTCCAACTGTCGCCGAATCATTACTTAAACAGAATGTTAATACCTGTTTAAAAGAATTTAGATTTGAAAAAGTATTACCGCATAATATTGTAAAATACTTCAAAACCATTGATGTAAAGAAAACCGCAGATTTGTGGGGGATTTCCGTTACAGTGATTGCGTCCATAATAGATTTAATTGCACCTCATCTTGCTATTATTTTTAATACTTGTATAGATTCTGGTGTGTTTCCTGATTTAATGAAGTATAGTAAAGTAATACCTTTATTTAAATCTGGTAGTACATTGGACCCCGCTAATTATAGACCTATTTCTGTACTACCAACTCTCAGTAAAATTTTTGAAAAAATAATTTTGGATCAATTGTTAATTTTTTTTAATACAAATAAATTACTTCATAAAAATCAATTTGGTTTTACAAGGGGTCGCACGACGTCTGACGCCGGTGTTGAGCTTATGAAACATATTTTTAATGCCTGGGAGAATTCACAAGATGCTTTAGGTATTTTCTGTGACCTTTCCAAGGCTTTCCATTGTGTTCATCATGATACATTAATCGGGAAACTACAACATTACGGTGTAAAAAATATGGCGCTTAAACTTATTATTTCATATTTAAGTTAAGAACTCAAAAAGTCGTCATTAATGGTAAATGTTCCTCCGGATCGGTAGTATCAATGGGCGTTCCTCAGGGCTCGATTCTTGGCCCATTCCTGTTCTTAATCTATATTAATGACTTACCTTATCTTGTAGGGGACAATCACGATATAGTATTATTTGCGGACGATACCTCTTTAATTTTCAAACTGAAACGGCAGTCAATTAAATATGACGATGTAAATAATGCTCTATCGAAACTAGTACATTGGTTTAACGCCAACAATTTGCTCTTAAACGGCAATAAGACAAAATGTATTAAATTTACAATACCTAATGTAAAACATTCGAAAACCAATGTGCTCTTAAATGGGGAGGAGTTGAGTCTTGTGGATACCACTGTTTTTCTCGGTATTACTATTGACGCGAAACTTCAATGGGGCACCCATATATCTAAATTAGCAAGCAGACTTAGTTCTGCAGCATATGCTGTAAGAAAGATTAGAAGTCTCACAGATGTTGAGATAGCTAGGTTAGTGTATTTTAGTTACTTTCATAGCCTAATGTCTTATGGAATTTTGCTATGGGGTAATGCGACTGATATTGAAGCTATATTTGTTTTGCAAAAGAGAGCCGTACGGGCGATTTATAATCTAAATTGTAAAGAGTCCCTTAAAGAAAAATTTAAAGAAATAAACATATTAACTTTGGCATCGCAATATATTTATGAAAATGTAATGTATGTACATAAAAACATAAATAGCTTTAATAAGAATAAGGATGTTCATACCTTAAACACTAGGAACAAACATAAGCTTGTAATGCCACTTACAAGACTCCACAGAATTAGTAATTCATTTATGGGGCAATGTATACACTTTTACAACAGAATCCCAGAACATTTTCAAAGTTTGTCAATAAACAAGTTTAAAAGTTTTATTAAAGAAAACTGTACAAAAAGGGTTATTATAATATCAAGGAATACATGAATGAAAATAACCCCTGGGAATAAGGTGATCGCCACCATGCTGGTTCTATGAAAATTCATTTAAAATTGTATAAACAAAATTATTGTTAAGTGAAATTATGTTTAAAAAAAAGTCCCGCTGGGTTTCTTGCTGGTTCTTCCCAGGACAGAGGTATTTTCCGAACCAGTGGTAAATAAAATAATGACTTTCAATAAGTATTATGTAATAATCCATATTGAATAAAAATCTTTCTATTCTATTCTATTCCAGTAAAAAGGGTCTCCGGTTCTCTACACTCACCATACGAAACACAGCAGTGTTAAACTGCTATTTGACGCTGGTATCTTGTGAGAGCGTGGTCCTTCCCCGGTCGAGCCGACCCATTCGTGCTACAACTATACTACTAATATAGCTGCAGCGTGGCTCTACCACGTAAATTCGTACTCAGGTTCTTGTTATAGTTCCCGAACGTTCAATGAAGGACATGTGTACTGTCAGATTTTACCGCCGTTGAAGCTTTCATAGCCTGTATTTCTTTTTCTATATTGCTTGTATGTGCATCCTCTGTAAGTGCACTCTCTATTCCTGCAGCAATATCTACTGCTTTCTCCAATGTCAGTTCACGAGATTCTAAAAGGCTGTCCCCGATCCTTTGAGATTGTATCCCACACACAAATTGGTTCCTTAGTGCTGTTGATAGAAATGTCCCAAAATTATAAGATGAAGCCATTTTTGTGCAAGTGCAGTTAGGTATTAATTAACAGGTTCACCTTCTTTCTGATGTCTGAAATTTAAAGTATTCTGCAATTTCTAATGGTGTGGGATCGAAGAGTGGTTTGAGAACAGTTACATTTTGTAAATACGAACACGTCTCCGGTTTCTTGGGAGAAATAAAACGCCAAATGTTTGGTACAAATCTGATGCAATGTGGTGAAATAGATAAAATTCTTTGGTTTTTCGTTCATCACTCCGTAGATTGAAAAGGCGCCTTCCAGCCTCACGGCGGTAAAATCTGACAGTGCACACGTCATTAATTAAACGTTCGAAAACTATAACAGTACTGTATTCGAATATCCAACGAATAGCACTTCGATATACCGACAGTCAACTTGGCACTACTGAAAGGAATGAAGCACTACCCAAATTTCGACGAAATTAAAAATTTTCTCATAGTCCACATACGCAAGGCAATGTGGTACAATGTACTCTTTGGTCTTATGTACAATTTCCCGACGGTTATGTATGTGGTCTATGTTACTAAAGTCTTTTCGGTAACCGGCTATTTCTGGAGGCTGGAAGTCATCGAGTCTGCGTGCGGAAGGATTCATAATGACTCTCGAAAACGGCACGTACACTCGGCTTACAAGGGAAATCGGTCTGTAGTTCCTCAATTGAGCGTTGTCGCCTTTCTTGAAGAACAAGACCATGCACTTCTGCTCCAAGCCTACGGAGTAATGCCACCATGGAGGACGGAATTGAAGAGCTTCTGAAGAAATTGAAGTATTGGTTTTCCACCCACTTTCAGAAGCGCCGCTGTAATTCCGACCTCGCCTGGTTCCTCGCCGTTTTTAAGGTGCTGTAGAGTAATTCTAAATTCGTTTAAATTGACGTCAGGTATATCATCTGCCCGTAGAATCTCTCAATCTCACTCAAAATATCAGGTGTCCCGGAAACGGTGCTACTACATTCGGTCTTCAGCTTCGACACTCGGCTCTTTCTAGCAGACAAATCTCTGTTAAAGTGTTTGGAGCTCTGGTTCCGCTCGATCGCTTCTTCAATACGAGCTGTATTAAAGTTGCGTAAGTCCCTCCGCATGCATTTGGAGATCTACCTGTTCAGTTGCTTATATGCTGTCATACCTGCTGAAGACTAAAGCTTCATTTACCGTCTCATAGCCATGAAATTAAAAGTGTGATCTGAGAGTTTTCGGGTTCTCCTGCGACGGGTCTTGCAGAACTTAGCTCCGACCGACCGAACGACGAGGAATAAGTTTCTTCGTATTTTGTTTGTATAAAATTGAAGAAAAATCTCTTTGGTTGTAATGTTTGTATCAGGCTGGTTTTAATGTCAATACATATAGGAGATTAAGAAAAAGAAAAATAAAAACTAAAAAGCTTTCTCGCCATTTTCGATTGTTTTTCTGTCCGCCAAAATGAGCGAATCTAAAGCTAGGGTCCCACGGCCTGTTTTGTCACAGGTCAGACCGCGCCAGGCCGGACAACAGGCCGTGGGAACCATCGCATCCGATGACGCCTGTGGTGGCTTGTTGGCGCCCGTCCGATCCATCGGGAGTCGGTAAGATCAAAGGCGCGGCGCGGCGCGGCGCGACGGCGCCTGTCGCGGCCTGTACGGGCGCGTCTGCGTCGGTTGCAATCGTTCATTTCAACTGCGGTGGCGCTTGCGCGTACATGCTCATGATGGAATGGACGAACGACCTTATATTCGAGTTTTTAACTCTATGAAAATGAACCAGCGCTTTGGAATAGCCTCAACATAAAAACAAGAATGATGTCCATGATGCGTGGTTACGCATAAAAACTAATTTTAAAGATGGAACTATCCCTATCACGAAGTTAAAAAAGAAAAAAGAAAATTTAATGTCTTCCTACAGAAAGGTGAAAGCTAAAATCAAGGAGTCAATGAAAACGGGTAGTGGCACAGATAATATTTATAAACCGGAATGGCCATTCTACGACATAATGGCAAAATTTTTGGATGTCGTATATAAACCAAGAAATAGAAAAACTACGATAACTGTGAGTAATTTTATTTGTATCTAATAATAATAGTAAAGGCCTTATATCATACGAGTACATTTATTATTATTATTTTAATAAGTAAATCTTTCTATTTTATTAGAAAATAATAGGAGTATCTATTAAAATGAACAGTATTATTTGTATTTATTATTAATTATACTTTTTTTTTTGGAGTTTATGGCCTGGTATCTAGACCTTTAGGCCAAGTCTTAAGTATTTTTATTCGGTTTATTGTAATTTCCCCACTCCTTCATAGTATACTGCTTCACAATATGTTGATGCGTCACATTGTGCAGTTCTTGGGAGATTTTGGCGGCAACTTGATCCAGCAGACAGCTGATAGTTGGCGATGGTATCTAAAGGTGCCTATGCAAACAAACAGCTTATCTTGAGAATCCATCACCATCAGAGCACTTGTTTCACTGTTTCCACTAATAGTTCACATGCGTAGACACTTAATACACAAAATCGCAACACTTTTACATATCAAAGTCCACTTCAAACCATTATTTAAACAATAATACAGGAGCAGCAAACCGCCGCCGGTCAATTTCCCGCCAAAACCTATTAATTATACTATATCGCGTATAGGGTTACCAGATGAAAAATTTAAAAGTCCGGAGAAGAGGCCTGATTTCCATTTAAAAACCCTGAGATTCTTTTACAGTTTGAGAAGAAAACCTTACTTAAAAAGGTATCTTCACATATTAAGTATGATAAAACTGTTTAAGTACCTACTTGGATAAATAAGTTTTGATTTTAATTGTGGAATTATTACCAAAGGAAAATTATTTTTAGTTTGTTTAACTTTTTATTAAAGAGATCTTTAAAATATAAGCTGTATTATATTGAAAGTTCTAAAAATCCTGAGATTTCATGAGATTTGCAAAATCTAGCCGCAATCCTGAGAAGAGTCTAAAAATCCTGAAATCTCAGGACAAATCCTGAGATATGGTAACAATAATCTCGTATAACCTCGCGTTACGTACAATCAGTTATGCTACAGATCAACCTACCATTTACGTACTTTATCTCACTCTTCGAAATATGAAGTTATTACAAACTTATGACACATTAAATTAATAGTTATTCTGCCACGGAACTGCGCCATCATTTACAAAGTATTCAGCAAACGTATCTCTAACGCTCTTGGCAGTAACGGCTGATCTTCTTGGTAAAGATCTCAGTGGTAGTAGAGAACTCATTCCTTCTTGATCGTTTCGCCAAGAGCCAGGTTGAATAACGCCAACTAATTAATACGCCAACTAATTAATACGCCAATAAATTAATAAAATTCATGATCAATGTCAAAACTGCCCACTGGTGTATATATTTGCCTTGATTTTTTACATTTCCTTAGAAAATAGTGTAATAAGACACAAGTCATAACTATGTCCGTCACCTTGTCGGGTTGTAACAGAATAGGTTTCCTAAGTACTCTGAAAACAGAAGACAGTATTCCGAAAGCGTCTTCGACTAATCGCCGAGCTCTTGACAGACGATAGTTGAAGACCCTTTCTTTTGTTCCTTTGTTATGATTCCCAGGATATGGCTTCATCATGTTAACAGTTAGGGCGAATGCACTATCAGCTACGAAAATGTACGGCGTCTTTTCTTCTTTTAATGGTAAAAAATCTGGTTGTGGTAAATCCAATTCAGAACGACATAGTTTTTTTTGTAGAACTCCGTGTTTCTGTACACACCACCATCGCTTATTCTTCCCTGGCAACCACAATCCACAAAAATGAAGTTGTAGTCAGCGTCAACCAAAGCCATAAGTACGATGCTGAATGTTCCCTTATAGTTTATGTATTCTGAACCACTGTGCATAGGACTTAGTATCACGATATGCTTTCCGTCTAATGCCCCTAGACAGTGAGGGAAGTTCCACTTGCGGTCAAATTCTTCTGCGATCTCCAACCATTCATGTGATGACTGTGGCAACTGTAACAAAATAGTTAGTTAATTTAGACAATAATAAGCTGCAGAAAAAAGTCTCATAATAATAAACTTCGTTCTCGATTACTTTCAGATATCAGATGAGAGTGAAGATGATAGTAAGGACGAATGTAATGAATCAAACCAAAATTTAGAAAGTAGTGAAGAACAGGACATTGCTTTCAAAACTCCAAAAATTATCCCAAAGAAAAAATGTAAACTAAATGAGACTCAAAATCGTATGGATGAAGCATACAATTATTTTAAACAATTAAGCCAAATACCGCGAAAAGATGTATTTTCTTTGTATTGCGATTTATTAGCAGAAAAACTGAGAGGTCTACAGGAACACACACGGGAATTAGCCATGTTGGAAATAGATAAAATGGAGTTCAATCTGAAACGACAAGAAAACGAATAATTTCATCAACCAGATTATCACACTGGAGCGACTACAATCAGGCCTCTGCGATCCTTGAACCAGAGCCCCTATCTTTCGGCACAGGTTTCACAATCGTCATCATCGTACTCACCGGCCTATCGGAACCACAATTATTTACAATCATTACCACATACTTCCTTACAAGCACCATACACACAAATTATTCCTTATCCACAACACTCCCCAAGTACCCAGTCTCCACAGGATTCACCAAGTTTTCCAGCTTCATTCCACCCTCAACCATCATCTGCATCGCAATCGCCGGCCTACCAGAGCCCCAATTTGAATTCATCACCACATACTTCCTCACAAGCACCATACACACAAATTATTCCTAATCCACAACACTCGCCAAGTACCCAGTCTCCACAGGATTCACCAAGTTTTCCAGCTCCATTCCATCCCCAACCATCTCCTGCATCGCAATCGCCGGCCTACCAGAGCCCCAATTTGAATTCTACACCACATACTTCCTCACAAGCACCATACACACAAATTATTCCTAATCCACAACACTCGCCAAGTACCCAGTCTCCACAGGATTCACCAAGTTTTCCAGCTCCATTCCATCCTCAACCATCTCCAGCATCGCAATCGCCGGCCTACCAGAACCCCAATTTGAATTCATCACCACATACTTCCTCACAAGCACCATACACACAAATTATTCCTAATCCACAACACTCGCCAAGTACCCAGTCTCCACAGGATTCACCAAGTTTTCCAGCTCCATTCCATCCTCAACCATCTCCTGCATCGCAATCGCCGGCCTACCATTGCCCCAATTTGCAATCATCACTACATACTTCCTCACAAGCACCATACACTGAAACTTTTCCAAATCCACAACAATCGCCAGGTAATCAGGCTTCAGATACACCATCACTAAAAAAATTTTACGAGTCACAAAATGAATCTCTTTTCTTGAAATAAAAATTATTAATAACTTAACAACTTACTTTTATTTATTTCTTTAATTCTTGTATTATGGCTTTGCAGACGTCGTCAACGCATCTTGAGACTGTTTGTTTTGAAACCTTAAATAAGTATGAGAGGCTTTTGTAACTATCTCCAGTAGCCAAAAATCTGAGTGCAATAGCAAATCGTTCTTGAATTGGTATGCACTGTCTCATATTCGTATCAATCTTTGAGATATAAGGGCCAATCTTATTAAGAAGGAACGTAAAATCATCTTGAGACATCCTGCAGAAATTTTCAAATGTTCCGCTATGTTCGCGTACAAAATCACTCAGCATATTAGTTGCATTATAATTGTAAGTAATAAAGAAAATATGTTTCTATTGCTGTAAAATAAAATAATTGGGTTTAGCTAGTTAAAATCACCAACCTTGATCGGCTTTTGTTGAATGACGACACCCACCAGTGTCGTTTCCTCTGCTTTCTTTTTGCTTGGTTTATCAAACGTTCACCACTGAATAAAACCACAGCGGCTGCACACGCAGCCATGCGCTCCGTATCACTTAACATGTTGGAATGTCAGTCGACAGGCCGCACCAGGCCGGCACACACCGTGGGAACGCTCAGTACGGGCCCCGACAGGCCCATACAGGCGGGACAACGCCTGGCGCGAAGAAATTCGATACATTCTGAAGTTTTATTAAGCTAGGGTCCCACGGCCTGCCAGGCGACAGGCCGCGCCAGGCGTTGCCCCGCCTGTATGGGCCTGTCGCGGCCCGTACTGAGCGTTCCCACGGCGTGTGCCGGCCTGGTGCGGCCTGTCGACTGACATTCCAATATGTGAAGTGATACGGAGCGCATGGCTGCGTGTACAGCCGCTGTGGTTTTATTCAGTGGTGAACGTTTGATAAACCAAGCAAAAAGAAATCAGAGAAAACGACTCTGGTGGGTGTCGTCATTCAACAAAAGCCGTTCTTGTTTTTATGTTGAGGTGACGAACTATTCCAAAGCGCTGGTTCATTTTCATAAAGAGTTAAAAACTCGAATATAAGCTCGTTCGTCCATTCCATCATTAGCATGTACGCGCAAGCGCCACCGCAGTTGAAATGAACGATTGCAACCGACGCAGACGCGCCCGTACAGGCCGCGACAGGCGCCGTCGCGCCGCGCCTTTGATCTTACCGACTCCCGATGGATCGGACGGGCGCCAACAGGCCACCACAGGCCTCATCGGATGCGATGGTTCCCACGGCCTGTTGTCCGGCCTGGCGCGGTCTGACCTGTGACAAAACAGGCCGTGGGACCCTAGCTTTACAAAAGATGGCCAAGTGCGTGTCGGGATACGCACAATGTAGAGGTAGGGTTCCGTAGTTGCCCGTCACAATACGTGGGCTTTCTTGATAATGAGCAAAGGCGTAGCTCCCGAATTTTACAAGTACTATATTCAATTGTAAATGACCCTAATTCTCCTTTTTATGTTAAGTATAACTTTTAGCATCAGTATCCTACTCATGATAGAGTTCCCAGTTCCCAAAACAGTCTTCAAACTCGTATTTCCACCACATAACAATGGTTTCTTTAATTCCTCTTTTACTGTACAGTTCATACTGCTCATGAATGCCCCGCCTGTTGATATCGAGAAAACCAGTAACAAACATCATTTTAAGAGATATTTAACATGAATAATACCACCTGATTTCTTCGAATTTTTTCTCTCTCTTACGCTTCGTAAGTGATATTCTGTATAATATGTATTTTAATATGTATCGTGTTCTTTTATTTTTGTATTATATTATTTCATATTTATTTAAAGATTTTGTATATAAGTACCCGTTTATACGAGTATATTTATTATTTTTTCTTTATTATAAAGTAGCAACACACAAGAAGAAGAAGATACATAGATGTAGATGTCTATGGGCCACAGCAACCACTTACCATCAGGTCGACTGTGTGTTCGTTTGTCACCCTATCCTATAAAAAAGTAGATATTAAGTTTGTATATTTTTAAATATATTTTATTTATTTGCATTTTGTTGTAAGATATAAAATCTTTATTACTTATTTATTAATTTACAAAGTCGTTGTTACACCTGCCAACGCTTCTCATGTCATCAAGAGTAGACTGGTAGAGAATGCCATAAGGCATTAAGTCCGCGCTTTATATCCCTTATTATAAGGTAATAAGTCATCATTTCATCATTGCAGCCCTTCACAAGTACACTACTGAACATAACCCCCCCCCCCCCCAAGGAATGCCACAAAGCACGGTCCTGAGCCACCTGCATCCATCGACTTCCTGCATGTCTGACCAGGTCGTCACTTCATCTAGTGGGGGGATGCCCTACACTTCGTCCACCGGTATGAGGCTACCACTCGAGAACCTTTTTTCCCCATCGGTTGTCGGTTCTTCGAGCTACTTCAGCTCGTTGCCACTTCAGCTTACTAATCCTTTGGGCTATGTCGGTTATTCTGGTTCTACTGCGGATATCCTCATTTCTAAGTTTATCACGCAGAGAAACCCCGAGCATAGCCCTCTCCATAGTTCGCTGAGTGACCTTGAGTTTCCTCATACGGTCAGCAGTGAAGGACTTAGTCTCAGATCCATAGGTCATCACCGACAACACGCACTGGTTGAACAATCTAGTTTTGAGGTTTTGAGGTATGCCTGACGAGATGTGTCGTAATCTTACGAACGCTGCCGAGCCGAGTTGAATCCGTCGATTGACCTCTCGGTCGAAGTTGGACTTACCTAGTCGGACTATTTGTCCCAGGTGTGACATGGACGTTACACATGACTTTTGTTTTGTCCATGTTCATCTTAAGACCTATCCGTTGGGAGACACTATTGAGGTCATTGAGCATAGTGCTTAGGTCCTCCAGCGATTCTGCCATAAGGACTATATCGTCGACAAATCGAAGGTGAGTCATGTATTAATGTCAATGGCGAGTCGCCATTGACATTAATACCGTCCTTTCCAGTCCAGTAGCTTGAAAACGTCTTCCAATGCAGCGGTGAAGAATTTCGGGGATGTCGCCTTGTCTTACACCTGTCTATAGTTGGATAGGTTTCGTACACTAGTTCTGTAATCGGATAGCCATCGTAGCCCTACTGTACAAACACTTCAGAACTTCGATATACCGACAGTCAATTTGGCACTGCTGAAGACACTGCAGCACCGCCCAAATTTCGACGGAATCAAATGCTTTCTCATAGTCCACATAGGCCAGACATAGTGGCAAATTGTACTCCTCGGACTTCTGTACAATTTGCCGAAAGGTATATATGTGGTCTATGGTGCTAAAGCCTTTTCGGAAACCGACTTGTTCGGAAGGCTAGAAGCAGTCAAGTCTACGTGCAAGACGATTCGTAATGACTCTCGAAAACAGCACGTAGGCGCGGCTCACAAGGGAAATCGGTCAGTAGTTCTTCAAGAAAGCGTTGTCGCCTTTCTTAAAGAACAACACCACCGCACTTCTGCTCCACGCCTCCGGTATAGTGCTACCAAGGAGGACGGAATCTTATCAGCTTCTGAAGAACTTTAAGTACCGGTTTTCCACCCGCTTTCAGAAGCTCCGCTGTAACTCCATCCTCTCCTGGGGCCTTGCCGTTTTAAGATGCTGGAGAGCCATTCTAATCTCGCTCAGACTGACGTCCGAAATATCATCGGAATAGTGTCGGATAAGCCTTGCTTGTGGATCGTTACTCATACTTGATGCTTCGACAGTTGGCTCTGTCTGGCAGACAGATCTCTAGCAAAGACTTTGGAGTCCTGGTTCCGCGGTAGTATGTAAAAAAGATTAAATAAATAAAAAATAAATAATAAGTGAGTTCGGGGTTTGACCGATATAACGCCTGGCCTGTCTCACTCCGCACTTTAGGAATGAAAATATACCTACGCGGCGCGACCGTCTACATGAGGCTAATTCCGTGAGGATGTCACGCGCGCGTTACAACCTCAGCGCGAGCTAACGTTAACATAAAAATTATTTTTCTTTAGTATTTGGGCACTTTTGATAATTTTTTTTAGTTTTTATTCAAGTATGGCCTCTCAAAAAGC